GCCTACAACCTGAGATGACCACCTGGCCTGTTTAGCATACTCACTAGGTCCTACAATAGCATCACACATACAGGGTGGCCTGCAGCCCAGACCACCCGTTGTTCAGTGTTCATCGATCAAGCTGCCACCTGAGAAGCACACACACACTCACACCTGGTTTAGATCACATTTCAGCAAGCAGACGCAGGCAGGGGTTGACCTGCTCACGCCAAATGGCCAATAGGATTACGAAGTGTGAAATGTTGTACCTCTATCCAGGGCAGGCCTAGACCAAGAAGATAAATGTAATGAGAAAACGTAACTCATTGTTCAGAGAACGGATTTCCTGTGGGAGCTCTGTCTCTCTGATCCCAGCTCTGTAAGACTTCAGCTGTGCTCAGACTTTGAGTAAACTTCCTGTTGATTTTAAACAGTCCTCTTCTGTCTTCACTTCTCGCGCTTTCAGTAAAAGAACTTGGGTAAAATCTAACAATAGTAGAGAAATGACATTCAGACACTCATCACTAAAGATATCAGCAGAGGAAAATAAAAGAAAACTGACAAACTTCACATGTGTAACAAGACTGATCAGGTGTTAATATTAATGTTACCTGGGCACGTGCTTTGCATTATAAGAAACCAACACAACTTTGTATCCCTCCAATAGAGTGTTCTCGTTTATCTTCATGGTGCCAAACCAGACACAAACACCATTAGGACCGATTATAACAATAAACTAAATTCAACCCTTGTACATACCATTAATATATTATAACAGCTTATAATATATTATACCGAATCGCATGATGGAGACCATTCTGCCCACGGATGTATTAAGGGGAAACGGTAGATTTTTCAATGTCTGTATTATGAGAATGCCATAACGTTAATACATTCATTTATCCTATTTAGAATGAAAGTAAAAATCACATGCAATTACAAACACACTTTTCATCTAGACACGCTTTTATTAGGAGATGGAAATCACCTCAAGGTGTTTTACAAACAAACACATTTATTAGCACTTTTATTCTATTTCTGAATCTGTGTGTATGTACATGCACATGTGTGTTTGTGGATCTGTTCATGTTTGGTTTCTTAAATGTATCTGCCCAATCCGTGCCACAGCTTCACCGGCTCCTCTCCCAGTAGGACTGGAGGCTCTGGGAGAAAGATATATGAATGTCACTGTGTCAGGGTATTGTATCTTATTTGCAGCAATATTAGGGCAATATTAGTGTCCTGCCCCCCCTTGAAGGTGAAGTTAAGTTTATTTTCTATATAGCGGCAGAAACACAGAAAAAGGCATGATGAAGTCGTACCAAGGTCAGTGGCATTAACCACCAAGCTGCGGATTTCAGCCATTTCAGCATTTTCAGGGTAATTCTTCAGCAATCAGCATCCACACACATTTTCTTCAGGAAATGCATTTGTCTAGTTTAAGTTTGGTGTTCTTTGAAACGCATTTTGAAAGAATCGGCAGGTCAAACTTTAAAAAATTGAAAATTTGAATCAGCCCAGAAAATTGCAATTGATGCATCTCTAATTACCAGGTTTAGGCAGAAAAATGACAAATAGGTTTCGAAAAAGATCATAGTTTGACTTAAATACTACTAAAGTAAAGTAAAATTCTCTATCTATTTAAAATGGTGAATCAAAAAGTTGTCACCTGTTTGGAAGTCCTGTGTTTTTTTCAAGGCCACCCATCCATCCATACTGACCTGTACTGTATATATAGTTTTATTGATCTCTCTGTGTGTCACTATTTACTCACTATATTTCTGTCTATACAGGGTGATTTTGCCATCTGTAGTCCATATGTGATACTATGGATAGCTGGCAATTCACATTGTGTTTGGAGTCACCTGGTCAATGTTTGTCTCTTACATTACATGTCCACAACACTGAATATCCAATCTTCATCCACCTGATAATATGAACGGCTAAAATGACCATTTAGAATTACTATTCTCATTGTATTGCCCAGTTTTGTCTTTCCTGCTATAATCATCCAACATTCCTAGAGAGCAATAATTTTTATTCATCTAGTTTTTGTCCTGTGGGCGGTACAGCGGGCGCAGTGGTTAGCACTGTAGCTCCCCCATGACCCTATTCAGGAATAAGCGGTATAAATAATGGATGGATGGATAGTTTCTGTCCATCATCAGTATTAAAATATAAATGATCACAATAATACTGATATTTTTTAAGTGTTTCTTTACAGTATTTTGACAGTATTGTATGCTGTACACTGTTTTGAAAATGTTTATTTAACTAAATGCACAGGATCCATTAATTTATACAAATTACTGAATCTGGCACACAAAGTAACTTAAATAGGTTAATAGGCAACAAATCTTTATATATCTTTGAGAACAAAATCCTCTACATCAATTTAACAGCCTCTGTGTATTTGGATATTGGTATACTGCAGCTGAAGGAAAGTCCTAATGTAGCCAGACATCCCCTTAATGGATGTGGGATAAAACATTAAACACCATGAATCTCTAGGTCTTGTTTTATTTGCATTCAGGCACCAAATTACTGAGAGAACACACAGTGTCTGATATTGTCTGTTCTCTGCTTATCTCTTTACATTCATTGGCTCAGCTGATATGCAATTAAGAGAAAACATTTAAAATCCACCATATTCACAGTAAATAAGAAGTTAAGTAACTAGAATGGCTTCTGCATCTAGTCTTTATGTACAGCAGTGATCCCCAACCTTTTTATCACTGCGGACCGGTCAACGCTTGACAATTTTACCGCGGCCCGGGGGGGGTTACGTAGATTGTTTATATTGTTAATATAATAATAAACGTGAATCCACTGTATTGAAATTTTTAACTCCCCATAACGCTAAATCAATGGGAGCCCTGAGCCCCAGCACTCGTTTCAGTGCTGTGGTGGCGATCTCAGGGTATTCTGTCATGACTTTAATCCAGA